ACATGGCCACAGGGCTCTTCACACTGAGATGTAATATCATTGTTTTACAGCAGAATTAGATTCAGGTAAGAACGAGAATCATTCTGGAAACTTCTGAAGGTGCTAAAGCCAACAGGATGAAAAATGGTTAACAGCCACCAGAACAGACACCACTGAAAAGATGTAGGTTTAGTTTTAATCAAACTATACAGTAAAATAACTTGTGCTCCTAATCAGTTGTTCTTATTTTGGAAAAGTCATTGATTTATTTGTTTATTGTAAATAAATATGAAATAAATAGTCTTGAGGCAGCTGTTTATTTCAAACTAATGAATAATAATTATACATTTTTCTAACTATATTTAATATTTATATTTGTTCACTGAATAAAATGTCCAATCAAATACTTTATGCATAAATAAAATAAATAACTGCTAATACATTACAATAAGGTTCTTATTTGTTAACTTCATTTGTTAACATGAACTGACAATTAACAATATTTCTACAGCATTTTTCATCTTTATTAATGTTAATCTCAACGTAACTAATACATTTTTAAACAATAGTTAATGCACTGTTAACATTTTTATTAACTAACAGCATCAAAGGTTAAAAATGCTGTAAAAATGCATATTGCTCTTTGTTAGTTAATGCATTAACCAGTGCGAACAAATGAAACCTTTAATTTTAAAATATAATATAAAAATATAATTTTATTACTTTTAATACCTGCTGTATATTATAGTTGCAGGAACAAAATGTGAATGTTTACACTGTGTGTTCAAAAAAATTAAAATGCATTAGTTGATATTTGTTTAGACAGACCCTGTTTGTTGTGATTTAAGGTCAGATCAAATTTATGATATGTCTATGTCTATGATAAATTATAAATGTATCTGAAGGGTACATATACATTTTCCTGCAACTGTACATTCTGACAGCTGCGATTGCTAGAAATATTCCTAGGGATTATTCAATGGTCTTTTAACTTTAGCAGAGACATGTCTCTATCATCCATCCTCAAATCTACACCCATGCACCTTTGGCTTAGCAGTGGTCTTCCTTGAATTCATTCCTGCACAGACCATCCTAGAACACAGGTTATGTCTAGGGAGGAAAATCATAGTCACTCGGCTCGGATCAGGCCTGCAGACGGCACTTTACAGCCAACTGACAGACAAACACACATGCACAAACACCATCTTCAGCCTAACTGGCCATTCTCCCTGTGACATGTCCTTTGTATCTGGGTCGACAGCTGTTGATCACAGAGAAGGGAGAAAAAAGTATAAGCGAAGGAAAGAATAAGAGCGCAAAACCCCTTTTCTTCAGCACTGTTCCCTTGAAAAGAAAAACGCAAACAGAAAGAGCTTAAACACAGATAATCACACACCGGAGTGAAGACTGGCATGGATGTCACAAAGTTTTGGAGCTAAGTTCTATAGTTGTTGAACCCAACCAAAGACTTTACTATATTTGTGAAGCTTTAGCTTTCAGAACTCAAAAACTGTGTGGAAAGGTCACACACCTACACATGTGCTCTAACCATCAGTATTGGAGAGTATACTGTATATATAAAAGCATCAATGCCACAAACTTAACTACATTTTCACTAGTGTCGGTACTTCAGCTGTAGAAGTGTAACGTTATAAAATGTTATTTTTATAACATTATAAATGCTGCTTTTTGTTACACAGAATGCCTACAGTTATAAAAATACTGTCACTGACCTGTTTCATACAAACTCATGAATCAGTTTGTTTGATTCAAAAAAATATTCTCAGTACAGTACAGTTGGGAAGTCAGGTGTATTACATAAATTAATCTGTTCAAAATAATTCACTAAAATGTAGCAAACTAACTAAAGTGTAGCAAAATACTTAAAGTAGTTAAATTCTGCTGTATTTTTTAGCTAAATAGATTCAGGTGTTTCTAGATTTACTACTATGTTTACCACTTTACCAATTCATGTTCAATGCAGTCACCCAATCCACATTCTTTTTATGCCAAATAAATACTACTCTGACTGTAAAAAATAAATATCATCTAAAAATATTGTCTATTTAATGCATTAAAAACTGCATCCTTTCATAGTTTCAGTTTAGCTGTTAAATAATAAATAAATAAATTCACTGTTAAGTATTTTAAATTATAAGAAATATTAGCTACATTTCTAAGTATCTTCCTCAACAGCATGTTTCCATCCTGAGTGTGAATTTATTTTATGAAAAAAGTCAACGCAAAGTGACTTTTTGATGCACGTCTAGGAATTTATTTGGTAAATGTGTGATAGTTCATGCATGACATGCGGAAAAAAAGATATCGTGGCTATGAATTAAGAATTGATTCCTGCAACTTCATCTGTGGCCGCATTTTATTAATTTTCTTCATTGTTTTAGTTCAATTGTGGTCCAGATATGATTAATTTACTCCTTCATTTTAGGTGAATTGAGGCCACTGTGTACTAATTTGTTCCCTCATTTTAATTTAGCTAAATCTTTGCCACAAAATCTTGTTTTATTCCTGAATGCCATGTGTAAAGCTTCATATTTGTGCATGTGTTCTTGCTAAATAATACATCTAACCACCTCAAGTAAGTGCAGTTTTTTTTTTGGTGGAGAACTATTGTTTATGTGATGAATATAATACATGGATGCCCAACTAGTGCTAAACTCAAACTTGAGAAACTCTCTCTTCGTCACACGCACTGTCCCGTTATTAAGCAATAAAGTACAGAACCAGTTTCCCAAGCATCAGTGTCAACGGCACTTTACACTGAAGGATGCATTACCATATATATGGAGGTTTGGCTGAACATACAAACACCTGTACTGAGTAAACACAGACTTTAATATCGCATCTCTCCCAGATATCCAGAGCACGGATTTACTGACCGTTTCCAGAGCACATATATAGACAGAGACATATGCAGGAGAGATGTGGACATTTAGATGTGGAAATATTATCATTCTGTGTGATTGCATATATTAACAGCTTATGGCAGTGTGTAGTGAGGTTATTTTTACATGTGCATCACACTGTAGTGCTTTAATGTGAGGTTACATGGCCAAAAGTATAAGAGGTAATAGTTCCTCCAGGACCCTGCTGTTAAAACTTCACAGGAGCCCCATCAAGCAGCTCGATTACCCCTTTAGGAATAAATAACATGTTGGTATTCCTCTTATCAAAGGCCTCTCTGATCTCCACAAATACTGCGTGAACCAAACACAGCCACAGTTATAAACACACCCTCACTCACACACACCCACGCCGTACTGGCATAAACCTAAGGTGGAGTATTTTACACACTGCGTAGGAGGGGATGAGTGGAGATGGAGCTTTGCTGAATAATGCGAGTGCATTACGGTGCGGTAAGCGTGTGTATAAGTGTCTCGCGCTGATGGGAAACTCAGTGTTAAAGTGGAAAGTTCAGCACGTCGTCCCCGTCATGCAAAAGCATTACAAGCTCCACCATTGCTCACGTTCAATATTTCATGAGCACTTGCCCTCCTGATCTCGCTAACGTTCGCTAGAAACTGGAGTGTGTTATTGCTCTTTAAACTCCTACTGCCCCTGCAAAAGGGCCATCAGTGAGAAAGGTTCATCGGTTCCTGAGTAAATGTTTGGGTAAAAATGTTTTAGAGTGATCTTATGCAAGATGAACATCTGAAATGGTTACAGAAGGAAAATGAGGGGAGAATTGAACACTCTTCCACAAATAAACACCTATCCTGTGACAAACCTTCTCTGATTAATTTGTAATATTGCAACTTTTGTGGCTACTGAAATGTTTTTACAAAGTCCCTATTAAGACAATGTGATGGAGAAAATATGAGATTGGTGAAATTACATTATATCTCAATGCTCTCAAAATGTTTGCGCTGTATTGCCAAAGTATTGCCTTCCCCCAGAAACTTTCCATTAAGTCAAGTCAAGTCATCTTTATTTATATACCGCTTTATACAAGGCAGATTAAGTTGCAAAACGTTTGTTTGGGGAAATAAACTTTGCATTTTCTCACAAAAGCATTAAAATACAGTTCTTCTTTTCAACTTCATCACCAGTTTTGCACTTGCCTGCAAAAACGCTAAACATCTGTGAGCAAACAGTTTTTTTGTGGAAACAACATTTTTACGATTAAATTCAAAAACATTGAAACATATTCTTCACTCCCATGTAAATTTTCCCATTACCCTTACTGGGCTCTGTTGCTTTTGAAAGCAGTTTAAAAAAGTTTTGAAAAATAACAATGTATGTATTCTAAGATCACCAACCAATTTTTTTTGGAGTACCACGATAAAAAAAAAGAATAATTATTGATCATTTTAATAATTATTCATTTAGTCAATTAAATAATTAATAATAAAGATACATAATATGCACTTTGTCAGTGTTTTTTTTTTTTTTTTAGAACTATGAATAAATGAAAAATGTTACCACATTTTGTTTAGTTAGTAATACATAGTCAATTAAAGGCCAATTATAGGATTGCATTTAAACTGCCTCTAAAAAGACTGAAAAGTCATTAAAAAGTCTGTGTAAACTCCTATAGCGATAATTGTTCTAAATTTATTTATTTAAAATCTTACAATTTTCAAATATTTATTCCTCAAAAGTACTAAAATCATAAAGTCTGGAATCTGAATCTTTAAGTAGAATTGGAATTGTGTGATGTTAGACAGACAGATGAAGAGCTTGACTATATTTAGGCATGTAAATGTATAACTATATATAACTATACTGAAAGAGGTGTCCTGAAAAATCTTGATAGCTTTTTTGATTTTTATAGCCCTAGGCTCTGTTAACAGCCAATCAGAAAACTAGCCAATCAGTAACACTCTTTCCCTGTGAATCATTTCACTCGTTCTGGTCCGCTGACACTGGGTTTGCTGACATGTCTTTGGAGGTTGAGGTTTTGGAACGAGGGTGTTAGCAAAACGGCTTAAGTTGGCAAAATGGCTGGAATCGCCTACAGCGCTCAAATTTTCACCCCGTTTCTGAGACCAAGTGTCACTCACCTGTGCGCTGACTTTGCTTTTGGCCACCACGGCTTGTTTGAAAGCCTGTCTGATGATGACGTGCAATCTGAGCACCACGGCCTCAATGTCCTGCTCCCCCTTCATGGCAGCGGCGAGTGACCCCAGTTCCTCCACGTACGCCCTCCAGTGAGGCTGCACCTCCGCCGCTCCCCCCAGACATGCCCCCATGGTGCTGACACACAGCGGGCGGCACGGCCGAGCCTCCAGCAGGCCTTGACAGTGCGGGCAGTACCAGAGCTTCAGCAGCGAGCGGCCGCAGTCCCTGCCCGCACGCAGGTGCTGGGTGGTGTTGACCACTTCGATGCCCAGGTTCAGCGCTTGCAGGAAGACCCGAGTGGCCAGGAGCGAGCGAGACAGCCGGGTCATCATCATCTTGGGAAACGACCCGAACGCAGAGATTCCCCTCCAGGCCCCACGGAGGCATTCTTCCGAGATGCCCGTCACCGCCCCGTTTCCAAGCAGACGCCGGTAGGTGAAAGGAAAAAGGCGGGAGAAGAAGGTAGAGACCATGTTGTTTACGTTAGCATCCGAGCCCAGGATGTAGAGGGACATTTCTAGGAATAACTGTGTGACGGCTCCGCTGGCTCCGGCCCCCAAACCGGGAAACTCCTCCCGTAACAGTGTCAGAGTGGAATTACGACCCAGACGGAGGACCATGTCAAAAGCCTCTGAAATATAAGAGAAACAAAGAGATGAATGGAAGAGTGATGACAGAGTCTATAGGGCTGTCCACTAATTCTTATAAAAATGGTACAAAAGCTGTCACTGGGGCTGTACCCTTTCAAAAGGTACTAATATGTACCATTTAGGTTCTAATATGTACACTAATATATACCTATAAGGTATTAATATGCAGCTTTTAGAGGTTAAAATGTACCTTTTGAAAGGGTACTGCTCCAGTGGCAACTTTTTTTGCACCATTAAGTTTAGTTGAAAAATAGTCCTAAGTATAAATGAAATGTTTACAAAAGCCACAGACCAGAAAATAAGGGTTGGACCAAAATGGCAGACACTTGGATTATATCAATGATATTGTGTTTTGTGTGACAGACTTCAATCCTTTAGACATTTACAATGATTTTGACATTTACGCTCATTTACATTTTAAGAAAGAGAACTTTATATGACTAAATGATTTCTTAGTGGCTCTCAAGCATGAAATTGGTCTAACCTGTGTCCATAATGCCAATTAAAATAAATAAATGTCTAAATTTCCAGTTTGTTTTAAGTGTTTATCTTTTGCCACTGACTTATCTTAGATGCAGCTCCAGAATATACATTATTTAAATTTCTACATATACTATTTATACTGTAATATCATTTAAATATAATAATTTTATGATTATCTAGGCATCATACTTCAATGAGAAGTTGAAAGTTACAGTACGTGAATAAAAAATACACTACTGCTCACTACACTACTCCTTTGAACTTTCTATTCATCAAAGAATCCTGAAAAAAAAATGTATCATGGGTTCCACAAAAATATTACATAAACACTGATAATAAGAAGAAAAGTATTTTTTAGAGCATTAAATTTAGCATATTTGAATAATTTCTGAAGGATCATGTGACACTGAAGAGACTGCAGTAATGATGCTGAAAATTCAGCTTTGCCATCACAGGAATAAATAACATTTTAAAATATTAAAACAGAAAACAGTTATTTTTAAATGTAATAATATTTCAAAATATTATTGTATTTCCAATCAAACAAATGCAGCCTTAGTGAGCAAGAGGTTTCTTTCAAAAACTTACTGACCCCAATCTTTTGAAAGGTAGTGTAATTTGAAACATTAGCCCTAACAAGACAAATTAACACTCAAAGCTATTTGTTTACAAATTTGAAGGCTCAATTACAGTAAACTTCATATTAGGCAACTGCACATAACATCGGCTTATGATCTCATAGCTAAGTTCTGCCTTAAGAACTATAGGTGCAACTGACTTAAGTATAGACTAAGTTAGATACTAAGCTCTTAGTGTGAACTATATAAATGGATAGTGCAACTCTAACCAGAAGCAGCTACTCAAGTTTTTCAATCATTACTAGGAACATCAAGCAGGTGTGCTGGAGCAGGATGAAGCTGAACTCTGCAGTAAAAGTGGTCCTCCAGGAACACATTTAGACACCCCTGAACTGAGGCACCAAACCTATTCATAGACACTCTTAAAATGTTACTGATGCAGAGAGTTCACTGACAAAAAAATGAAAAGAAAATACGCAATAATCCACAGAATCTTTTCCTCACAGATGCACACACAATCCTAATTGCTGAAAGATGATAAACAGTGAGAAAAAAGGAAGATGGAATTAAAGCTTCCCCTCTAGATGAAAACCACGATGTCCTTTTAAAACAACAAGGGTGCTTTTCAAGAGCCTTATTATAGCTATAAAAGGCGTTCATTCATCCGTGCTGGATGCTGTGAGAGAGATCTCCAGAAAACAGCACAAAGCGACGAGACATAATCAGTGACATCTGAAAGCTCTCAGTGAAGCCTTATCAGCACGCAGGCAAAGAGGGATTGCTACCGAACCCACCCAGACTACCGGGGAGACCAGAAACGAGAGGCTGAGGGGATCTGGGAGCATGTGGAGAGGAAAACTGAAGGCTACAGGGAGAGAGGAAGAATGACAGAGAAAAGAAATATGAGTGAAAGAGAGGAGAGAATGGCCTTGGGTTCGTCATCCAGAGTTCCAGACAGTGTGAAGGTGATTGAGAGGTGGGGAGTCTGCAGAGCCGTGATATAAGCATGCTGCCGAGCAGACTGTTCACAGCCACATACGTGAAGAGCTCCATCCATCTCTCCCAGGGAGTCCGGCTCTCAGGGGCACAGGATATTACATCAGCACAACACGCTGGAGGAGTTTATGGATCGCACTGATTGAGACGAGATAGAAATCACTTAGCACTATATCACAGAGCAGTTAAAAGTCTCAAGGTGCTTTTAGACAACCCGGAAATTCACTCTCAGTGGCTATGCTCGTACTACATACTCATATTTAATCACATGATATCTGCAGTATACAGTATGCATGTTGTGCACAGCATGAAAATGTTCTGTTTGCATGGAAGAACCAGATCACCTTATAACTCAGACTGGACCATTTTTCCAAAGGCTTTTTCCAAGTTTACAATAAATAAGGTAGGCTAACACTTTAGTTTAGGGACCATTTCTCACTATTAACTACACTCTTAAAAATAAAGGTGCTTCAAAAGGTTCTTCAAGCGATGCCATAGAAGAACCATTTTTGGT